TAAGCTATGGTGTTAGATAGGTTAGGTTCATTAAATGCATTTTCGACTTAAACCCACCATGAACTGAAAATATCTTATCAGGATGTAACCCTGTTGTTAAGCCTAGGAAGATCTGTAGTTTCACTGCCCTAAAAATCCTCTGTGGTTCACCTTTTCATACCTCCCTCCCCTTTAATCCCTGGCAACCACTCATCTTTTTATTGCCTGCATATTACCTTTTCCAGAATGTCATATAAAGTTGAAACCATACAGTATATAACCTTTTCAGATTGGTTTCTTTCACTTTGTCTAACATGCATTTAAGTTTCCTCCATGTCTTTTCATGGCTTAATAGCTCATTTAATTTTAGCACTAAATACTATTCCATTGTCTGAATATACCACAGTTTATTTATCCATTCACCTACTGAAGACATCTTGGTTGCTTCCAAGTTTAGCAATTATGAATAAAGGTGTTATAGCCGTTCATGTGCAGGCTTTTGTGTGGAAATAAGTTTTCAACTCATTTGGGTAGATACCAGGAGTGCAATTTCTGGGTCATAAGGTAAGAGTATGCTTAGCTTAGTAAGAAACTGCCAAACTGTCTTCCAAACTGGCTGCACCCTTTTGTATTATTACCAGCAATGAAAGAGTGTTCCTCTTGCTCTACATCTTTGCCAGCATTTGGTGCTGTGTTTTGGATTTTGGCCATTCTAATAGGTGTCTAATGGTATCTCATTGCTTTAATTTGCGTTTCCCTCATGCCATGTGATGTGGAACATATTTTTGTGTGCTTATTTACCATCTGTATGTCTTCTTGGGTAAGGTGTCTGTTCAGGTGTTTGACCCATCTTTTAATTGGGTTGTTTGTTTTCTTTTTTGTTTTTTTTTTAAATATGGAATGCTTCACGAATTTGCGTGTCATCCTTGCGCAGGGGCCATGCTAATCTTCTCTGTATCATTCCAATTTTAGTATATGTGCTGCCGAAGCGAGCACTTCTTTTTTTTTAAATAAATTTATTTTTATTTATTTTCTTTTGGCTGCATTGGGTCTTCGTTGCTGCATGCAGGCTTTCTCTAGTTGCTGCAAGTGGGTGCTACTCTTCATTGTGGTGTGTGGGCTTCTTATTGTTGTGGCTCCTCTTGTTGTGGAGCACAGGCTCTAGGCACACAGGCTTCTGTAGCTGTGGCACGGGGGCTCAGTAGTTGCAGCTCGTGGGCTCTAGAGCACAGGCTCAGCAGTTGTGGCACACGGGCTTAGTTGCTCTGCAGCATGTGGGATCTTCCTGGACCAGGGATTGAACCCATGTCCCCTGCATTGGCAGGCGGATTCTTAACCACTGTGCCCCAGGAAGTCTCAGGTTTTTAGTTTTCTTATTATTGAGTTTTAAGAGTCATTTGTTTTCACAGAGCAAACATTTTTAATTTTAATGAAGGCCAGCTTATCAATTCTTTCACTTATGGATTGTGCTTTTGGTGTTGCATCATCACCATACCCAAGGTCATCTAGGTTTCCTCCTATATTATCCTCTAGGAGTTTGAGTTTTGTGTTTTACATTTAGTTCTCAAATCCATTTGGAGGTAATTTTTGTGAAAGGTATAAGGTCTGTGTCTGGATTTGGTTTTTTTGGGGGGGGGTGGCATGTGAATGTCTAGTTGTTCTAGCACCATTTGATGAAAAGATTATCTTTGCTCCATTATATTGCCTCTGCTTTTTTTGTCAAAGATCAGTTAACTATACACACACATACATACATACATATACATATATGGGTTTATATCTGGGCTCTCTATTCTATTCCATTGATTTGTCTATTCCTCCACCAACACCACACTGTTTTAATTACTGTAGCTTTATCATAAGTCTTGAAGTTGCATAGTATCAGTCTTCCAACTTTGTTCTCCTTCAATATTGTGTTGGCTATTCTGAGCCTTTTCCCTCTTCATATAAATTTGAGAATTAGTTTGTCAATATCCACAAAATAAGTTTTTGGGATTTTGATTTGGATTGTGTTGAATTTATGAATTAAATTCATGAATCTGTGAATCAAGTTGAACCTATAAATCTATATATCAACTAATATCTTAACAGTATTGAGTCTCCCTATCCTGAACATGGAATATCTCTCCATTTATTTAGTTCTTTGATATCTTTCATCTGTTTTATAGTTTTCCTCAAATCTTGTACATACCTTATTAGATTTGCCTATTTCATTGAGCGCTAATGTAAATGGTTATATGTCTTTAATTGCAAATTTTACTTGTTCATTGCTGGTATATAGGAAGGCAATAGACTTTTGTGTATTAACCTTGTATCCTGCATTTTGCTATAAACTTTTATTAGTTCCAGGAGGGTTTTTTATTTTGTTCATTTGCTTGTTTGTTTTTGTCAATTCTTCCAGATTTTTTATACAATTATGTCATCTACAGATAAACACAAGTTTACTTCTTCCTTCTCAATCTGTGTATATTTTCTTTTCTTTCTGCGTTTGCTAGGACTTCCAATATGATGTTGAAAAGCAAAGGTGAGAGGGGCAGACATCTTTGCCTTGCTCTTGATCTTAATGGGAAAACTTCAAACTTCTTCCCATTAGGTATGATATTAGCTGTAGGTTTTTGTAGATATTTTTTATCAAATTGAGGAAATTCCCCTCTAATCTCAGTTCCCTGAGAGTTTTTATCATGAATGGTGTTGGATTTTGTCAAATGCATTTTCTGCTCTATCCATTGATATCATTATGTGATTTTAATTCTTTAGCCTGTGATTACATTGATTTTTGAATATTGAAACAGTCTTGCATACCTGGGATAAATCTCACTTGGTTGTGCTGTATGATTATTTTAATACACTGCTGGACTGATTTGCTAATATTTTGTTGGGGATTTCTGCATCTATGTTCATGACAAATATTGGTCTGTCGTTTTTTTGTACTTTCTTTTTTTTTTTTGGCTTTAAGGTAATGCTGGTCTCATTGTATGAGTTAGGAAATATTCTCTCTGATTCCATCCTCTGAAAAAGATTGTAGAGAATTAGTGTAACTTCTTCCTTAAATGTTTGCTGAAATTCACCTGTGAACCCATCTGTGTCTGGTGCTTTCTGTTTTGGAAGATTAGTAGTTGTTGATTTTATAATACAATAGAAAGAGGCCTATTGAGATTTATCTGTTTCTTGTGTGAGTTTTAGCAGATTGTGTCTTTCAAGGAATTGATCCATTTCACCTAGGTTATCAAATTTGCAGGCACAGATTTGTTCATATTATTTCTTTATTATCCTTTTAATGTCCACAATCTGTAGTGATGCTTCCTCTTTCATTTCTGTAAAATCGTTTGTGTCTCTCTTTTTTTCTTAGCCTGGCTAGAGGTTTATCAAATTTGTTGATATTTTCTAAGAGCCAGCTTTTGGTTTGGTTGATCTCTCTCTATTGATTTCCTACTTCCAGTTTCATTGATTTCTGCTCTAATAATTATTATTTCTTTTTTTCCTGCTTGTTTGGATTTAATTTTCTCTTGTCCAACTTTCCTAAGGTGGATGATTTATTTAGACCTTCCTTTCTAATATATGCATTCAGTGCTGTAAGTTTCCTTTTAAGCACTGCCTTTGCTGCATCCCATACATTTTTTAAAATTAATTTTTATTGGCGTATAGTTGATTTACAAAGTTGTGTTGGTTTCTGTTGTACAGGAAAGTGAATCATTTATACTTATACAAATATTCACTCTTTTTTAGATTCTTTTCCCATAGAGGTCATTACAGAGTATTGAGTAGAATTCCCTGTGCTATACAGTAGGCTCTTATTGGTTATCTATTTTATACATAGTAGTGCATCCCATAGATTTTGATAAGTTGTATTTTCATTTTCATTTAGTGAAAATATTTAAACATTTCTCTTGAGACTTCTTTGACTCATGTGTTATTAAGAATGTGTCATTTAATCTCCAGGGATTTTCGAGCTATCTTTTTGTTATTGATTTCTAGTTTGATTCCACTGTAGTCTGAGAACAGACATGTATATGATCTCTACTTTTTAAATTTGTTAAGGTGTATTTTATGGCCCAGAATGTGTTCTATCTTGGTGAATGTTCCATGTGAGAAGACTGTGTAATCTGCTGTTGTTCAATCAGGTAGTTTATAGATATCAATGATACTTAATTGATTGATGGTGCTGTTGAGTTCAACTGTCCTTACTGATTTTTCTGCCTGCTGGATCTTTCCATTTCTGATAGAGGAGTGTTAAAGTCACCAATGATAATAGTGGATTCACTTATTTCTCCTTGCAGTTCTGTCTGATTTTTTGCCTCACATATTCTGATGTTTCAATGCACACGCAAATTAAATTGTCATGTCTTAGATTATGTAAGCCTCCTTTTTATCTTTGACAACTTTCCTTGCTCTGAAGTCAGCTCTGCCTGAAATTAATATAGCTAGTCTCGGTTTCTTTATGATCAGTGTTAGAATGGTATATCTTTTTAAAGATTAACATTTAATCTATATGTGTCTTTATATTTAAAGTGGGTTTCTTGTAGACAACACAGTTGGGTCTTTTGTAAAAATCCAGTCTTACAATCTCTGTTAACCAGCATATGTATACCACTAATCTTTAAAGTGACTATTGATATAGTTGGGTTAATAATATTTGTTTTTCTATTTATCTTGTTCTTTGTCCCTATTTTTGTCTTCCACATTTTTTCTGTCATTTGTGGCTTTAATTGAACATTTTATGATTCCATTTTCTCTTTCCTAGCATATTAGTTATACTATTTTTTTTAAGAGTTTGCTGTAGAGTTTGCAATATACGTTTACAACTAATCCCAAATCCAATTTCAAATAACACTGTACTGCTTCACAGGTACTGTAAATACCTTAAAATAACAAAATAATCCTAATTTCTCTCTTCTATCCCTTGCATCATTGCTGTCATTCATTTCACTTACACATAAGCATACACAAGCATATGTGTTTACACACACAAGCATACATAGACGAATAAGGTATTGCTCTTATTAACAAATTGTCATCTTTAGAACAATGAAGAAAAAAAAGTCTTTATTTTACATATTCCTTCTCTGATCTTCTTTCCTTATTGGATCCAATTTTCCGTCCTACATTATTTTCTTTCACTCTAAAGAACTTTTAACATTTACTGCAAGGCAGGTCTACTGGCAACATTTTTCCTCAATTCTGTTTGTCCAAAAAGGCCTTTATCTCTCCTTCACTTTTGAAGGGTAATGCCCCAGGGTACAGCATTTTAGGTTGGTGGGCTTTTTTCTCCCAACATTTTCATTTCACTATATTCTCTTCTTGTTCACATGGTTACTGAGGAGAAGTCTGTAATTCTTAACTTACCTACAGAAGAGTGAAAGGTATTTTTTCCTTCTGCTTCCTTCAGGATTTTTTTCTCTATCTTTGATTTTTCTGTAGTTTGAAAATGATAGGCCTCAGTGAAGGCTTCTGTGTTTTGTTTTGTCTGGAATTTTTCCTTCTTGGTGTTCTCTGAGATTTCCTGGATCCATGGTTTGGTATCTGATATCAATTTTTGGGAAAATTTCAGTCATTATTGTTTCAAATATTTCTTCCGTTCCTTTCTCTTTTCTCCTTCTGGTATTCCCACCATGCTTATGTTACACCTTTTATAGGTGTCCCACAGTTCTTGGATTTTCTGCTTATTTTTTTTAGCCCTCCCCCGCTTTTTCCCTCTTTTTCAGTTTCGGGGGTTTCTATTGCAATATCATTAAGCTCAGATATTCTTTCCTCATCCATGTCTACTAGTCTACTAATAAGTCCATCAGAAGTATTCTTTATCTGTGTTACAGTGTTTTTGATCTCTAGTATCTATTTTGTTCTTTCCTAAACTTTAGGTATCTCTGCTTACATTGCCCACCTGTTCTTGTATGCGGTCTACTTTATCCATTAGAGCCCTTAACATAATAATCATGGTTTTAAAAATCCTAGTTAATAATTCTGACACTCTGTGATATCTGAGTCTGGGTTTTATGCTTGCTCTGTCTCTTAAAATTGTGGGGGGTTTTTTTGTTTTTTTTTTTTTACTGTTGTCATTTAATTTTTTCTTGATAGCTGAGCATGATGTACTGGGCAAGAGGAACTGTTGGAAACAGGCCTTTAGTAGTGTTGTGATAAGGTTTGGGAGGAGCAAAAACATTTTATTCCTATGATTATGTCTCCGACTTTTAGTGAGCCTGTGCTTCTGGACGGTGAACTTCACTCATGCTTTTTTTCTCCTCACGTCTTAGGTGGGACAGGATGGTAAATCGGGACTAGGGTTGGGTATTTCCCTTCCCCAGGGCAGTTAGGTTTTGGTCTGAAGGCCAGACCTTATTAAGGAGAACAGAATGCTCTGGCATATTTCAAAATGCTTCCTTTTCCCTTCACCCCGACAGAACCATGACGGGATTTTTCTTTGACATTCATTTTGAGAATCCGATAGAGATCCCGGAGATAACACTCACAAGTGTAGGGTCTCCCCTCCCCTGATGAACGAGTTCCCCTGGAGGTTTTAAGTCTGACTTGTCCACACTGAGCCTCCAGAAATTCATCAAACTATATTCGAGGTGTCCCTACCCTGGCACTGGTTCCCAAGGAGATTGCTGCTCCAGTAAATTGTAATTCTCTATATTATCTGTTGGTCTAATTTTAGGAACAGTGGTTTTCCCTGTGACGTAACTTCTCTTATGGATATAAGAAGAGTTGTTGATTTTTCAGTTTGTTCAGCTTTTTACTTGTTAGGATGGAATGGTGACTTCCAAGCTTCTTACATGCTGGACCAGAAACTGGAAGTCTCCCTCTTTTTAAAATGTGTTTGCTACTATAAATTTCCCATTTACCAGTATTTTAAGGTGGGAGATCATTGACTTGAGATCTTTTAATCTTAATATAGGTGTTTACTATTAATTTCCCTGAAAATGGTGCTTTAGTGGCAGCCCATAAGTTTTGGTATGTTGCATTTTTATTTTCATATAGCTCAAAGGATTTCCTAATTTATCTTGTGAACTTTCCCTTCGACTCATTGGTTATTTAAGAGTTCACTAAATTCTACATATTTTTGAATTTCTCAGTTTTGTCTTTATTTCATTCCATTGTGGTCAGAGAACATACCTTTTACGACTTTTAATATTTTTTCAATTTATTGAGGCTTTTTTATGGTCTGACATATGGTCTATCTTGGAGAATGTTCCATGTGATCTTGAGAATTGTCTATTGTGTGAATGTTCTATAGATGTGTTAAGTAGTTGGTTTATAGTGCTGTTCAAGTCTTATTTCCCTGTGGATCTTCTAACTAGTTTTTCTATTCATTATTTAAAGGGGAGGCAGGGTCATGTCTCTGACTAGTATTGCTGAATAGTCTTATTTTCCCCTCAATTCTATCAAGTTCTGCTTCAGAATTCTTGCAGCAAAATACAGAATTGTCAAGAACATGAGTTCTGTTGTGAGGTGCAGAGATGTTTACGCTGTTATAGCTTCCCGACAGGTTCTTTTCTATCATAAAATTACTACCCTCTTTATCTGTAATAAGCTTTTATTTTCAAGTCTATTAGTTTAGTCACTCCAGTTCTCTGACTGGTGCTTGCATGGTATAGCTTTTTCATTGTAGTTTTACCTTGGATTTTAAAGTGTGTCTCCTGTGGACAGAATATAGTTGAGTCTTGTTTTTGTTATCCAGTCCGACAACCTTTGCCTAATCATTGTTAGGCATGAGTAATAATTCACTCATATGTATTGTTACTATGTATATGGTTGGGTTTACATGTCCTTTTACCTTTTTGTCTTCTATACGTTACATCTTCTATGTTCCTGTGTTCTCCTCTTTCTGGTTTAAGTGAATATTTTCTAGTGTAATATTTTATGTTCTTTAATAATATTTTTCTGTATATTTTGGGAATTATTTTCTTAATGGATACCCTAGGACTTACAGTGTACATCTTGTCAGAATCTACTTTAGCTGTATAGCATTTGTTACACACATTGCATCACTATAAGTTAAACATATAATACTTTCTATAATATTGTTTTAAAGTAGCTGAATATATTTTTAGATTTTTTAAATTAACCTTTTAATTCACAATTTCTTGTTAGCTTTCTGTTGTTTCATTATTGAAGTATGAAATATTTGCTCCCACCTGCTTATGGTGTTATATGCAAATATACGTTTCCATGTTATAGGTGCAACACCACAATTATATATATATGTATATTGTTTTATACAATTGCTTTTATATCAGCCGAAATAAGGGAAAATAAGTTGTTACAATGTCTTTTATAATTTCTTACATTTTAATTGGCATTGACTTTTGGTAAGGGTGTGAATAATTGTGGGGTCTCACTTCCTTTCAGACAGAAAAACATCATTTAGCATTTCTTGTAAGGTAGGTTTCCTGGGAATGAGTTCTTAAAATCTGTGTGTCATTTTGCCTCCATTTCTGAAAGCCTGTTTCGTTAGACATAAACTCTTTGGTTGAGTTTTTTCCTTTTAGCACCTGGCATGTCCTTCCATTGACTTAGGTCCTCACTGTTTCTAATAAGTCAACTGTTAATGTGGTTTCCTTGTACATGATTAGTGGTTTTTCTTTCTGTTTTCAAGATTCTTCTGTCTTTAAACATTTTTATTCTGGTATGTCCGGGTGTGGATCCTTTTATTTTCAGAACCTGACCTTCTTGGATTAATGCTTTTCATCAAATTTGAGATTTTTAGGCACTGTTTCTTCTAGTAACTTTTCTACTCACTAGTTTCTCCTCTCTTTGTGGCACTTCCATGACATATATGTTGATGTTCCATATTTCTCTGAAGCTGTTTTTTTTTTCCTGTTCTTCTGACTGCATTATCTATATTGATTAATCCCCACATTGGCTTTCTACTGCAAAGCTACTGTTGAGTCCCTCTAATGAATCTTTCATTGCAGTTATTATACTTTTTAAGTCCAGAGATCTCCATTTGGTTCTTTAAAAATAATTTCTATCTCCATTAATATTCTTTGAAGGAATATTATACCTTCCTTTACCTTCAGCATGGTTTTAGTATGTGTATGTGTGTATGTATGTATATATATTGAGATGCTTTGAGGGTTTTGTCTGCTTCCAATACCTGTACCCACTCAAAGGCAATTTTAAAAAAAAAATTTTTTTTATTGCTTTTCTCCCCACCATGTATGAGTCACACTTTCCTGTTTATTTGTAGATCTTATTTTTTTGGTTCAAAACTGGACATTTTACATAATACAGCAGTTCTGGAGACTCATACTCCCTTCTCCAGGGCTTGTTTGCTTATATGGTTAGTGACTTAGCTGGACCATTTTGGCTAAGTCCACTTACCCTGAATTGTATGGCCTCTGATGTTGCAGTACGTCGCCTGGGCATATGCAGTGTTGCTGACACCTCCCCTCAACCCCAAGGACAGTAGTTTTAGCAGGGCTCTCTTGCTGTTTCTTTCCCTGCCGTCCCTGCAAGAGCTTTAGTTGGTCTGTCTCCACTGTTATCACGCTGTGCTGTTAACATCCACTAATTGCTGGTGGACCTCTCTATTATTTGACAATGTCCTGGGACATAAATTGCCACACAGTTCAATCTAATTGAATTTAGGTTTTTGTAGTTGTTGAGGTTTGTTCCAACTGTAGGGCTACTCTGAACTTCCTCTTTCATTCTCTGTTGAAATTCTCACTGGCCTTCCTTTCTGCTTGTTTTGCTAACCTGGAGATCCCAGGCTCCTCTTACTTCACCCCCAACCCCACCTGAAATCTCCTTTGTCTGCAGCAGCATCCTTATGCTTCAACTTCTCTCTGTTCTAAATAAAGTCAGTCCCTTTAGGGAATGCTATGGAAGCTGTTTTTACAGCCTGCTTCTCCCACTGGGCAGAACCTCTGTGCTACTCCCCCAGCATTGGGGATGGGGAGAGTAGCTGGCTTTGCTAGTAGTCTGTAAGTAGAGCAGTGGGTGGCAGCCCCTGATCTTCTCTGCTTGCCTCTCCTTCCATAGAACCTCCACCCTAATCACTATTGCTCTAGTTTATGAGTACGCCAGGGCAACAGTGATTAGAAAACAGTATTCCTGGGGTAGATATTCTGTGCTACAAGTGGGGACTGGGTGGAGGAAGGAAGGCTCAGACCTCTTTGCTATTGCTGCTTGCAACAGAGCTTCTGCAACACAGACCTTGGGGGAATGAGAGATGCTAGCAGTCTGCTCCTCCTAGGGATACATTGTAGGCCAAGACCGGGAGATGAGGGGAGGAAGGGTGCAAGGGTCATGGTTCAAATACCACAGAGACTCACTATTCTTACCAGGATTGAGTATTTTCTTGGATAAATGTTTCTGTTTGCTGTGTGCTCTTATGACAATTTCCAGAGACTTTAATTTCTAAAAAAATATTTACCAGTTATGATTATTTCACTGAGGGGTCTGTACGTCTCCTCATGTTGCCATTTCGAAAGTGCTTCTTGATTTGTTTAATACATGTCTTAAAATATAAGCAATCAAGACCCTTTAAATAAGGCAGTATGTTCACAACCTGAAAAAGCTTTCTGTTGCCATCAGTTGACTCAACAACACCATGCGGCATACAGAATACAGTTCTTTAATAGTTCTTTAAATATATTCCAGAAGTAAAGAGTGTTTCTAATCATTTACAAGTGCAGTCTGTTACACCAGTAAATGTTACTTGACCTCTTTATAAAGTAAATAATGCTAGGTAAGAATTAGTCCTGGAATAGTGTGCTGAATTTCTATTTCCAATCCAGTAGATTAAAAACACAACTGTGAATGGTATAAAAACGTAAGAATCATATTGTGATAAAACCAATCTCAAAAATAGAGAATCCAGACGCTACTCAGATAATTTTAGAACTCAGAAGTTCTCCTCAACTTAAACACGAGCCCCACACAGAAAATATCACAGATGTTTTTCAATGTGATGCAACTGCATAAAATTCTAGAATGTGACCATGAGGAGACGAATGTACTGAAATCAACAGAATTTAGAAAACACACCTAATTCTGAAGTCAGGAGACGATTTACAAAGAATTATTCATCATCAGAGTCAGAATCATATTTCTTTCCTCGAATAGTTTTCTTTTCCAGCTTTGTGAAGTTTGTTCCAAATTTCTTTTGGCTCTGAAATGGTGGCTCCGTTAAATTTCCACTGAAAAGAAAGCAAATTTGAAAAACACTTATTCTGTATGATTTAGTACAGCTGGTATACTAAACTGCACAAAAATCTATCCTCACTGTAACACAAGGAATAGAGTAAAATTTTCTTTCAAATGTTGGGGTCAAGGAAGAGGTATATTATTTACACTGTTAGTAGTTTTAAACCTTACTATGTACTACTAAATGCTTTAGATCAGCGTTTTATTTTCTGATCATTAATTACTGATTAACATTTCACGGGATGCACCAACAAAATTTCTGACTGAAAAAGCACAGAAGGAGGTCGGTTATTTTTATCTGTTTTGGGTATGCTGAATCTGTATTAGATTCTTTCCTGAGAATGACACAGGAAAACCATGCTCTATTTTTGATAGCCTGTTATGACTGGTTTGATTCTATTTAACATCTTTTAATGCTTAGATCTCTATAGACATCAACAAAACTCATGGAATTCATTATCATTAACCCATGATAGAACTCAGAAAAGAGTTCTATCATGAACTATCAAGAAAAGATAGAAAAGAGTATGGAACTCTTTTCATGACGCCTGAAAAATATTTCGAAAATATCTGGAAATATTCCTGGCAGCTAGATCTTGGTTTTGAAATATCATTTGCCACTGAAAGGAACCATGGCGTCTCGGAGAAAAAGCCGGTTCCTATGGAGAGTATAACACGAGGCCCCCTAAAAGACCTTACGTGCACCAGAAAGAAAGTGCTCAAAGAATTATGGGGATGTGTCAAAAGGACACAGAAGCCAGTATGAAAGGCTCTCATTGGCCAAATTTGAGGCAATCTGAGCTTCAAAGTAAATAATAACAGCGACAGACTATAACCCACTGAATAAAAGAATCCACAGCCCATTCTAATACAGATACATGAAGAAGTAAGTTAATGTGGGGTCTGGAGAAGTTCTTCCTTAAATCACCAGTTGGCTTGGTGGACAACTGGTTAACCAGTGCACAGTTATCACCACCAGCAATGAGACAAACCATCATATATCTCCTGATATGGTACACTGAGAAGAAAGAATACAACATCACTTCCATAATACACCTATGGAAAACACGCAGAATCTGAATCTAATTTTGAAACAAACTGGGATATGCTCTATAAAATAACTAGCTTGTACTCTTCAAAAATGTTAAAGTATTGAAAAACAAAGGAGGGGAACAAGTTGCTACAGGTTAATGGAAACTAAAAATACATAGTAAGTACACAGAACCCATTTTTCCAGCATGGAGGACATTGGGACAATGGTGGAATTTGAGTAAGGTCTGTAAACTATGTATTTTGTGTTTTAATAAATTGTACTGTGGTTATATAAGAATGTTCCTGTTCTTAGGAAATGCACACAGAAACATTTAGGAGTAAAGGGACAATATATCTACAACGTCCAATCAAATGGTTCTGAAAAAAAGTTTATATATATCTAGAAAGAGAACGATAAAGCAAAGATAAAATGTTGAAAACTGAGGGACACAGGTCAATGATATACAAGAATTCGAGAATTCTTTGTACTAGTTTCCAACTTATTTAAAGTTTGAAATCACTTCAAAATAATTTTATTTAATATTAACATTTTACTTAATATTAAGAAAATAAAACCTAAAACTCCAAAATCAATCACTACAATGTAGGAATGATTTATGCATGTGGAGGAGAGATTCAGAGATAAAGGAGGAAGGGAAGTAAAAAGATGAGAGAGCTTTCTACTTATCAAAAGGCACTCTGACTGGAATAACTGGAAAATTTCACCTGTTATTTTTGCAAATCAAAAACAGGCACAAAAGATAAGATGATATGCTCTGATTTGTGGAATTAGATAAATTATTTGTCTAGAGAAGTGGACAAAGAGATAAGCGGAAAATGGAAGTTGGATTTTATCAACAGATGGTTTTCTGAGACTGTTTCCCAGAGTAAGTAATTTAAGCTAAGCATAGAGATGAGATTTTATATGTTTTATCAGATTCTACAAGTGATACAGGAATATCTACTTTCAAAGATTAATGTAAGTCATTATCAATTTGATTAAACTCGTTTAAATCAGGAAGGAGTCAATTCTTCTGGAGTGTCATTTGGGTTTCCAGATTAACAGAGAATTAGATTCCATAGGATCTGGAAACTTTGAAAACTTTTATAGTTAGATGGACTCCAAGGTCCAAGATCAATTTTATTTATAACTCTGATTTTGCTGTAAGATCGTGCTAATGTACACTTTTAAGAAATATGCTTTTCCTTTGTGAAAATTTTTCTACATCTCAGCTTAAAGATCTTAGTTCCATAAAATAAATGTTAACATAAAAAAATTCTCTAAAAAATCAACTGGATATGTGAATTAATATAAATTGATAGTTTACTAAAAGTTACCTGTAATTGAGAATATCAGAACAACCCAGCCTCCATTCTAAAGTTTCTGTGGTGAAGTCATCTGTATTTCCTAGGTCGGAAAATCCAACAACAAAATCTTGTGTTTTTCCATCTTTCACCAGTGCTAGCGTGGGAATGACTTTGATATGCAGTCTCTCACAAAGGAAAGGTGCTTTTTCCACATTCAGCTTCAAAAATTTGGTCTCAAGATGTTTCTTGGACAGTATCACCAAGTGTCTGTCTAGTATGTTACACCTATAAATAACAACACATAGAAAATCAAAAGCTAAAAACAACAGATTTCTTTTTCAAAATAAATATTAAGGCACATCTAAGTTTTTAGCTTTTCTGAATCTGATAATTTGGCAGCCAACCTATGCTTCGATCAGATAACCTCATTTCCATTTCATAGGTTAGGTACCTCTTTTTCTACCTCTCATGATATCATATTCTAGAAAGTTAGATCTCCCTTAATGATACTTATAAAAAACGAAGTATTCAACTTATGCCTTAAGTGGTTCACAAAGTTGTCATGTTCATGGTTAAGAATAAAAAATTGTCATTTCCCTTATGCATGTTTCCTGGCATCTCATAGGTGACAAATCTGAACTTGACAGAACTGGGAAGACAGTTCTCAGAATTAGAAATGAACATGTGTTGCCATATTCGGAAGTCACTAAGAAAGACTGAATGGTGTCACTGAGAAGGAACCCTTCCAACTGTGCAACTCTGTTAGTGAGAAGCATATCAAGGTTAAGGGCTACAAATATGGTCATTACGGTATGAAAAATACCAGCAGTAACCTTTATTAAGCCACCTGAAAAGTGGAAAGCGATATTTTCTTTAAATTATATTTTAAACTGGCCAACCCTCTAGTGTTTCTGAAAGACTACTGTAATAATCTTTTGAGCAGTAGTTCTTACCCAGAGGTGATTATTACAGTCAACTTTTAAAATATGCAAATGAATCAAAATTCTCTAGGAGTTGAGCTGAGAAACATGCAAGTGATTCTCATGCCCAGCAAAGTTTGAGAACTACTGCTTTCGATGACTAAGACACCAAACGCTTCATAGCTGGTTTTACTAGTAGGCTTTTTGGGTACTTCTTGGTATAGTTTTTCCTGAGTTAGGTTTGGGTCCACAGAGTTTCTTATAACCTTGATGCATCATCACCTCTGAGTGATTCTTTTTACATATCACCCACGTACTGCAGCAATGGGATTTTAGTGAAAATGGCAGGGGAATAAGCTGTTTTTGAATGAAGTTCCAAACAAGTGACAAATCATTTTGAGAAATACGTTCTTGAAGATTTGTACAAAAATCAACTCCATTGTTTTACTGGAGTAATACAGAATCTATTTTAAATAGGTCTGTGTCCCACTTGTCAATTAATCCATTTTTTAAAAAATCCAGAAGTTATGGTGTAGCTAAAACAGCATTAGGCTTAAAACCTGGGTTCAAATCCTCTTTTATCATTTAGTAGCTGAGTGACGTTAGGTAGGTCACTTAATCTCTCCAAGTCTTGGTGTCCACGCATGAAGCACAGGAATTATACGTACTTACCTCAAACGGTGATTATGAATGCTCCAGGATTTTATACAACACGAAGTATCTAGCTTACTATGTGCTAGAAACTTTGATATCTACCTATCTATATCTCTATCACCCCATTTCAATCTTGACTTTTCAGTTCTGTTTTAAGGTAAGTACTGCTGGCGCTGCATTGTTTATAAATCCATCAAGTATACTTACTGAGTACCTACTATGTGTAGTCAATGCTGCTCTGTGGCTAGGAACCCAGAGCACAGTGGGCCACACGACACAAAGGCAAACCCTCTGCCTTCACAAAACTAACAATCTAGTGGGCAGAGACATCTAATAAATAAGTGGACAAATAATATCAATCTTCTATTTACCTTCCTAATCCCTTTCCCACTTTCCCTTATAGGAGATTTCATCATCTTAGTTATTTTCTTTCATCTTTATTTTCTTAGTCAATAAATCCCAGGCAATCAGTCCCTGAAAGGTGTTAACTAATAGCCACATTGTTGGGTGATGAGGCAAAGACAAGGGCCAGGCAGGCTATGGATATGCAAAAAGAGGGCAGGGCTGGGATCCCAGGGAATAACAGAGACTCTGCATTGGAGTGTGTGTCTAAGGGGGGCAGGGGCTACTTGGCATCAGTGAATTGCTTTCATACATTCTAGGTCTGTTATCAAGTTATCTGATACTTAAAAAAAAAATTCTAAAATCTGATTAGTTGCCAACATTTAAAAGTTTTTTTGCCAACACTTAAATGTTGGCAAGTATTCAAATTTGGGGGCTAAAAAAAAAGGCTTGAGTCCTCTGGTTTAAGATGTAACCTCTTCTGGGGCTATTTTCACTTTGAGGGATCTGCCTCCAAAGAGAGGTTGGCAGGCCTGGGTTCATCTAATAGAAATCACTTCATTGTCCTTCCAGCCATGCCTGGTGCCGCAACTCTGCTTCAGGTGAAAGGCTTGGTCAAGCCACAGTCTCCCGGTGAATTGCAAGTTGAGAAGAAGTGACTGAATTCAAAGCTGGTGTTTAGGTGTTGGCCCCATTTCCAACACTGTGGCTGTATCATAATAGTAGGGACAAAAGTAGAATTCTTTTGGCATTGATAAAAAAATTAAAGTGTTCATTTCTAAGATGTTTTAAAAATTAGCTAGTGAAAATATAGTTCAGGAAATAGCCATTTCTATGGAAATACTGATCTTCTATAGTTTGTACTTTTGTATGACACTGGTTTTTAAGTTAATCTTTAATGATTGCTTAACTTTAATATAATTCTAGTACAAAGAGACAACTTAGGAATTACTTCCTTTTATATTTTTCTTAATTTCTCTACTAAGTCAGTGTATCTCTATTCAACAATCTCATCATGTTCAAGAACAGTCACTGAGGGAAACAAATTACCTCAATGTGGAGTCTCTGTAGAAATGGCAAACCACTTTTTTACTCTCCTTGACTTCTTGAAAAAAGTCTCTCTCACTAGGGATTTCTCTGTATTCCCCATGTCCTTTTGAAAGCCATTCCTGATTTGGAGAAAAGGGAAAGTATCACACATTTGAAATATCTCTTTCAATATCACTTTATATTTTATGTCCAAATCACTATAATATTTTGTAATCAAGCTGACTTTATCTTAGAGAGAAACGAATTCCTTTCGGTGATGTACTTTCCTATGTTGCTAGTGTCAATGCAAATACAGTCTGTGGGCCGTGACTATCTCCACAGCATGGCTCATATTTACGATGATTATCTGTCTTGGTAACTTAAAACATACGTTTTCTTAGAACTTCGAAAGTAAAAATTTAGACTACAAAGAGACTTAGAATGTAACCATCTACTTAATTTCTTTGCACTGAAACTATTAAAGTCAGAAGCATTTGATCTAAGTTACTACATAGCTTTAAAAAATAATGCTTGTGAGATAAAGCCAATCTGTCTTTGGGGAGGGGGCGGGTACTGCAGCTCTGAAGCTCGGGAGCCCTGTTTGCTTTTGATGACTAACTCAGAGACAGCAAACCTCTTCTGTACTGGCCATCAATGGGTAGTGTCCTGGGAAGAAAAAGGTGTTTGTCTTCACGTGGTGTCCAGAAACAAAGATCCCGCAAGTCACCTAATCCAACTCCCCAAATCAATAAATCAACCCTTATCATCCATGTCGGACAGACATTTCAGCTTCTTTAACCTTTCCTGTGGCAGGAAGCTGGTCCCCTCAACTGGAAGCTTGTTTCCTTTCTCATGAGCTGGTTTTAATAAAAGGGAGGACTGGACTTGCAGGCAGAAGGCATGGGCTTGAATCACTGCCCTTTCTGAGTCTCACTTTCCTCATTTGTAATGTGGAGATCATAAAGCAACTCTCTCATTGAGTTACTGTGAATGGACAACGTGAAAATAACTACAACAGTGTCTGGCAGGTGTGCTTAAAAAGCATTTGTATATGTACTCTCTGTTCTTAGAAAAGTCTTCTCACACTGAATCACAGTATATCCAGAACAGTGGGCTGTGGATCGCAGCTTGGACCTCAGATGAGAAAGAGAAATTCTAATCTCCTTCACGTCAGCCCTTCAAATATCCTACATCGCCTATGTCCTCCCTGCTTCACATTGAACATTTCCATTTGCTTTTGACTTTCTCATATGAAATGACTTCTAGACTTCCTCGTCTTCTGGCTGTCCTCCTCTGAACAGTCTTCCAGAAGTGGTCCAACTAGAAAGGGGCAGGAGTGCCATCCCTGGGCTTACACTAACACAGCCGAGACTGCGTCACCAGTTTTGGTATCTATACATTTCATGTTGGCTTACACTGAGCTGAGACCTACCGGAGGCCCTGATATTTTTCTCCTTATTTCTTTGGTAAAGCTTCCATAAAGAGTTTAAACTCTCAAATACACTCCTTAATGACGCATTTGCTTTGAGCACAGCTAAGTTATGACAGGCTTTCTCATAACTCCACCTGAAAGGGAACCCACTGACCCCTATTCCTCCCAGGGTTCTTCCTCATCCACTCTCTCCTCAACCACACAAATCTGAACTCAGAAGATTATCCCGGGCACGTGTTTCCTGTACTTGACTGTGGTTAATACACTGGTCAGGCTAATTCTGAATGTGTCTTTAAAACGAATCTTTTTTCTGGGCAAATTTTTAATGGCATTAGGTACTTTGAGGTCAAACCACCCTAAGAACTACAAGTGACTACTGCAGCACGGGTATATGTAAGTTGTTAGAAGCATACTGTTAGAGCAATTTCAGAAAGCAGGGCAGAGAGGTTACTTGTTTCTGCTGCTGAGCTCTCCTCAGTGCCTTGAGTCTCTTTTCTTTGAGGTGTTCCAACTCATCCTCATCCATCTGATCCAGTTTCTGAATTTCCGAATCCAAATGTTCTTCCACTTGCTTGGTGGTCTGAAGCAACTGATTCTCTAGGACTTTTGAAAACATTTCAACAGATGCATTCGCTTCCATTCTTCTAAATGGTACAGTTCAGCCTTGATGCTGGGGAGAAGGTTTACAAAGTTAGAGAAAAAAAATAAGACAGGGGCTTCCCTGGTGACGCAGTGATTGAGCGTCCGCCTGCCGATGCAGGGGACGCAGGTTCGTGCCCTGGTCAGGGAAGATCCCACATGCCACGGAGCGGCTGGGCCCATGAGCCAGGGCCGCTGAGCCTGCGCGTCCGGAGCCTATGCTCCGCAACGGGAGAGGCCACAACAGTGAGAGGCCCGCGTACCTCAAAAAAAAAAATAAATAAATAAGACAGCTTTCTCTTAGTTTCAAAAATGCTAGCAAGTATATAATTTGTAGTCCACAAAGTGTTCTGCTGACAACCAAGCACGTCATGTTAAGAATTTTTATTTAAATGTTTTAAAATTTAATTTTCAATGGATTATAGTTACACTCCTCAAAAACGATTTAGACCAAAGTTTAGGTGCTTTTGATTTAGTTTGTGTTTTACTACCCTAAAGCAAAGACAAATCTTTAAGACCATCGCCAGACCAGAAAGGAATGACGAAATTAAACCTAGTGCTGTATATTGACAGTGTTCTTTACCAAAGGAAAAGGGAAGAAAAGCAGAAATGACTGTGAACAAGATAAAGTTTAACTGCAGTGAGGTTTTACACACACATATACACACCAAACTTTGCTTCAACATAGAGCAGAGTTGAGCAAAAGACATATTTTTCATCTCTGCCTAAATGATTTTCGTTTAACTCTGAAGAGAGCTCATTACAACTTATGTAAAGAACTCTGCCTGATGTTCCCTAAGCTTTAGTTTCCATTCCTGTTCTCCCATTACCTAATAAAGTCTATGAGGCCACAAAGATTGATACTGGTATTGATTTACTGACACTCAGCGTTCTTAACTTTGAGATCAAACAATATTAACACTACAAATATTAAAAAGAATATTGATTTTTCCATCAATCCTCTATGTAAGATAAGAGTTTAAAAATAGAATCTAGGGACTTCCCTTGTGGTCCAGTGGTAAAGAAACCAACTCCCAGTGCAGGGGACGTGGGTTCGATCCCTGGTCGAGGAACTAAGATCCCACATGCCGCGGGGCAACTAAGCCCTCGAGTCGCAACTACTGAGCCTACATGCCTCAACTAGACAGCCTGTGTGCCGCACACTACAAAGCCCACATGCTCTGGAGCCTGAGCGCCACAACTAGAGAGAAGCCTGTGCTGCAGTGAAGAGCCTGCATGCCGCAACGAAAGATCCCGCATGTCGCAACTACTAAGACCTAACACAGCCATAAATAAATAAATGAATATAAAAAAAATCTAATTCAGATTAGAAAGGAAGATCTCTCTCAATTACATATTTATTTTATATTGGCATATAGTTGATTTATAATGTTAATTTCAGGTGTACAGCAAAGTTATTCATTTATACATATACATGTATCCTTCTTCAAATTCTTTTCCCATTTAAGTCACTACGAATATTGAATAGAGTTCCCTGTGCTATACAGTAGGTCCTTGTTATCTATTTCAATTACATATTTTAGAAGAAATGTATTATTGTTGCTAGTAGAAAATCAAATGTTTTATGGGTAGCCCTGAATTTCAATTTATAATTTGCCTATCAAAGCAGGAGGCTGTTGCATCTCAATTAGTTATGTGATACATTTGCAACCACTACTGAAGCACTTTCAAAAATCTGAATAAACTTGTGAGCTTATTCACCCAGCTTCCGACACGCAGCCTGGCCCACCAGACCCTCTATAAATGTTGAAGTGAAGAGAAACAGTCTTCTTGCAAACTTCGCCTCTGATTCCATTTTTCTACACATGAAAAGAAGCTTTTGAAAAGCATACTGGGGACTTCCCTGGTGGCGCAGTGGTTAAGAATCCACCTGCCAATGCAGGGGACATGGGTTGAATCCCTGGTCCGGGAAGATCCCACACGCCTCGGAGCAACTAAGCCCGTGAGCCACAACTACTGATCCTGCGCTCTGGAGCCCACGTGCTACAACTACTGAAGCCTGCGTGCCTAGAGCCCGTGCTCCGCAACAAGAGAAACCACCGCAGTGAGAAGTCCATGCCCCGCAACGAAGAGTAGCCCCCGCTCGCCGGGACTAGAGAAACCCTGCATGCAGCAACGAAGATCAAACGCAGCCAAAAATAAATAAATTTTAAAAAAGCATACTCGATTTCACCTTGTATTCCTGGAGCTAGCAGTGCTGAGCACACTGCAGATGCACAAAAAATGTTTGTCAACTGTTGAAGGAACGTGCGTAACTTTTGTTCAAATTATCGTTAAGTTTCAAAAGTATTTCCGGTTAAAAAAACCCCCAAATGTAACTTCCTCATAAACGCTATAAAATTTTAAAGGAGCCGTATTTCAAATGTAGCAAATGAATTTCACATTCTCTACCTCCTGAGAAAAACGTAAGGCTGTGACTCAGGACTGGGGCCAGATGAGGCAGAAAACTCGACATTAAACACTGACTTGCATGTCAGATCCTGTTCTTTACCAGGGGCGTAGCGGTTGCTTATCCCTAGAGGTTTATAGGCTGAGCTCAGAATTCAAGTCTTGGATAACTGGGAGGAGAAACGATTAACAAGGGCTGCTCTGCGGGCAGGTGGTGCTGGTCACCGCATTCAGAAAGGGGGAAAGGAGATGGTGCAGGTATCCTGGGAACTTCATTCCCCAAACAACAAGCTTCTTTTTTTCAGTTCAGCTGAATGGTGAGCAGGGACTTGTCCTCAAATCACCTAGCCATTTCCTTGATCCCCCGGCATGCACCCGCCAAAACAACCAGGGGGCCTCACCCTTAACTGCACGCCAGCCGCTTCCCAAAAGTACCCTCGCCACTCCCTGCGCCCCCGGAGACAGATGAGGGCAGAGTTGAGGTGGTCCCGGCTTCAACGCCTCCCGGGGCGCATGCGCCAAAGCTTCCTCCGCGGCGCGGACACCCTCGCCCGAGCCGCGCCCCTCCCCCGCCCAGGCAGGAGGCTGAGCAGCCGGGTCTCCATCAGCACCGAGATGCATGGCCGGCTTTTTCACACCACTCTCTGCCTCACCTGAGCTCTCGGTGATACCTGGGAAGTGAGGAACCAGCTTCTCCAGAAGAGCAATCCACTCCGGCTTCAGCCTCGTAGCAGCTGCGGGGGACTGGGGAGCGGCCGTCACTTCCGCCTCCTCATTGGCCGCGGCTCTCACGCGATACAATCTGCGACGCCCCAGGAAGTGGAGGGGGGGAAGGGAGGGGACGTGCGTGCGGTGAGCGCTTCTGCGCGTGCGCCCCTCCCCCACCTTTCTCCGCCCCACCGCCCGGAACCGAGGTGGCCCAACCTCTCCCTCCCTCCGAGTAAACAGCCCAGAGAGCGAGGAAGCGATGTATGCTGGAGTTTGTAGTTTCTTAGTGCTCAGCCTGGAGTTGACGTTCTTAGGCTCTGACATAATGTTACATCAGAAATGAAATAGCTACTGTCTTCCTCAGGAGTGAAACTCCAATTTCGTTCCCATTCTGTTTATTGAACGTTTCCCCCTTTAAAAAAAAAGTTGAAATATAACTTATACGCCATAGTTTTTACATAGTTAACACTCGTAGTGTCATCGTCCAGATCCGGATATAGAACACTTTCACAACCCTAATAGGTTCCCTCGCGACTTCCCCGACACACATTTTTAGAACTTGCTCTCGCTTTGAATGTAAAGATTATGATCTATTTTGCAGAATTAATGGGTGTGTCCTTGTTTTATGATTTCTGGTTTGTTTGATTTATTTATTTATTTTTTTGGTAAGTCATGGACTCATGTTGTGCTGGATTTCTCTATCTCCCTTGGGAACACCTGGACAGCTCACCAGGGGTTCATTGTGGTTCTTTACTGAACTTCACGCAGCTGAGAGTACAAAGGGACAGAGGTTAAAGGTGGAAGGGAAACCGAAAGTCCACTCCTGAACTGAGATCCGATTCCCCAAGTCTGCGTTCCCCACAGGGAGAAGGCTGACGGTGGAATTTTCAGCCTCATTGTCCACCTCCGGGTTCTAGAATCTGGAAACCGCACGGGCGTCGGTGCACGGCTGACGCTTGCGGAAAGGGGGCGCTCGGGCTCCTGCCTGGCGGGCGGGTCAACTGGAGACGCTCTACCCGAGGCGCAGCTCTCAATGAGCCGCGCCCTGCGTCCACACGCCGAGGCGGTGGGGCGATGCGCTTGCGCACTCGGAGCTCACACCATATGTGCCCTGTCCCAGTGCGCGGGTCTGTGGAGAGCCGGGTGCGACAGGCGGCACCGCGGTGGGGCACGGAGCCGAGCGGAGACAGAAGTCGGCCGGGGGACAGTGGGTCTGTGAGAGACCGAATAGAGGGGCTGGGGCTACGAGCGCCGCTGACACACGATGGGAAAGAAGCAGAAAAACAAGAGCGAAGACAGGTAGCCAGTGTCGGGGTTTCAACGGCGGCGGCCGGCGCGGCTGAGGGGGGCGCGCGGGTCCCGTGGGCGCGCGGCGGACCGGGGTCGAGGCTCGAGAGCGGCCCCGCGGGGCACCGGCCGGGGCCCACAGTGGGTGGCGCGGGCCCGAGACCCCAGTACCGGGCGGGCGCGGAGGGCCTCAGCGGCGGGCGGGTTCCCAGCCGAGACTCTGTCCCTTTGCCGCCCCTCGCCCGGCCCGGGAGAAGGGGTGTCCGGCCTGAGGAGCGGGGCAGTCGTTTGGGGTTCGAGGCCCCGCGGGGCAGGGCTCGCGGCGTCGCGGGGCCAGGGGCGGCTCAGCCAGCGTGGCCCGGAGGTTGGGAGTTGTTTTCGTGGCGCTACTCTTGCTGGGGGTCAGGAAGAGTTCTTTTTATGTCTTTGTACCTATGAATTCTTGGCGAGAGAGGGAGTTGGGATCCGCTCTGTCTCCAGCCAGGTGTTCCCACCCTCTGAGCCGCTCAGGTGCGTTGGAGTTACCGGGAGGAGCGTAGCAGCAAGCTCCCTTTAACTTCATTTAATTTGGGTACAGCTTTCAATTACTTAAGGGCTGATTGTCCAGACTCCATGCTTTTCGCGTTCCTTCTTCCGGCCTTTTGGTCATTTCTTTGCTCTCTAGCACCTCCCCTAAGAAAGGAGGAGGAGATGAAACAAACCAACCAGGGTCGGTCTTTTCTAAACCATTTAAAAGACTTCTGAGGCGAGGGAGCGTAAGGGTGTATGTAGAGTTGCGTACCCCGAGATTACTGGAACATTTCTGGGTGTCATATTCGGTTGAGTTCTTTACCCCTTTTCATTGAAAGGGTTTTACTTCCTGGGAGTGAACATTTGTTACTTTTCACGTTTCTGTACTACTCACCAAACTTAGTCCAAATACTGGGGATAGTAAGAGAAATTCAAAAGACAAAAACAACCTGTGATAGTTCATTTTGACTCAAAACGGATATGTGGTCTTGAAGTTAAAATCAGATTACCAGTTGTGAGTTGGAATCCTGGGTTGTGTCCTCACTGGCCTTCACCTATCTGATGAATGGCGTTAAAAAGACACCAAGGTGAGTCTTGTATTTCAGTTACAGGTCTATTGGAGGAAGTTAATTGGTTTCAAGAATAGAACTTATTGTTAATCAAAGCAGATAAATAGGAAGAAAGAAGCAGAATTCTGGGGTGATTTAGTGGGAGAGAAATTTCTATGCTTTTGACAGGATGTTTTGGTGCCTAGGATACTTTTTTTCTTCGACCTTATACAAGAAATAGAGATGAGTGTAATAAAGCTTCCTGTACCAGTTACCCAGCTTCGACCATTGTTGTCACAGGACTGGCCCTGTTTCATCTCTGCTGGATATGGTAAAGAACTCTCAAAATCCTTTCATGTGTAAATCTTTCAGGTGAATCTGAAAGATAAATACTTGAGGGAAAAAAACAACCACAGGAACACAACATAAGACACAATCACAATGTCATCATTAAGCCTAAGGAATACTAGCAGTGATTTCTTAAATATTATCAATTGTCTAGTCAGTTTTCTGATTTCACTGATTCTAATTAAAATTATGTTTTGTGGGGTTTTTTTTCGTTTTGTGTTTTACAATTGGTTTGTTTGGATCAGAATTACAGAAGTTTGTTCTTTAGATTAAAAAATTTTTATATGTTATTTTAGCTACAGTTGTTCTTTTTCAAGCTCTTTCACATTGCAAAAAAGCTATTCGGAGGAGAGATTTATTTTTGTGTGTGTATTTTTAGAGAAAAGTGAAAGTCTTTTGCTAATTCATAAAGGTTTTCCTGGATGACATAAAGTTTAAATTGCAAACACTAGAGCCTGTTAAATGATTGGTTTGATAGTATAGAAGGAATGCTACTGGGTTTTTTTTCCTTTCCGACTAAATCTGCAGTGTTTACTTTTTGTCTCGTATTGAAGGAAAAATGGTGGCAGTGTAATGGAAAAACACACTTTCTCATAAGCCAATATCAAATTTTTTTGTTTGTTTTCTAATGCTTCGTGGACTCCTCCCACCTCTCCTTCCCTTCTGAGCTGTCCTAAGCCAGACATGTTTCTGCTCAGGAAGAACTGGGTGAGAAATGAGCACCTGCTTATTAGCTATCAAGTTAAGGCTTTGAGCCACTTTTCAGTTCTTGGAAAGAACATAAAATACTTGAGTGTTTTAATCCTTATATTGTTATTTAAAATTTTTAGCCGCTCAGTGTTTATTTAAATTTTACTATCTAATCTGAGTAATTTTATTCGGATTACATATGTTTTATCAGTGACTGACCTTCGTTTAAACATTGAGTTCTAGAATCTTGTTTCAGCTTGTGAAATTCTGAGAATGAGACTTTGATAGGTGTTCAGTTTTCCTGCCTTTTTCAGTTGACTGGGGTAGGATTTAATATTCACAGATCATATAGACAAAATATAAGGCCAATATTTTCATTTCTTCCTATAACCTTCCCAGTAATCAGCTTACATAATGGGACCATATCTTATGGGATCTTGTAGCAATATCTTACCATTTCCATTTATATAACACGATGAATGTTCTCTTGTTGATGTGTGCAGAGAAAAAATGATCCTGATTATCTAGTTTTTCACAATTAGCCTCCAATTCTTCATTCTGATCCTTTTTTTTAATCCCCCAAGTGTGGTAGTTACATTTTTCAGGTTGTAAGGAATGTGGTATGTTACCTTAATAAATGGGATTAATACATCTATACCCCCTCACAAAGGATATAGAGGGAAGGAAGATCATTATTTCACCTATCTCACAGTCAGACATGAAGGTGGGGATGTCATTCAGGAATTAGGAGGTCTTTCAGGTTTGAGTACAGGTATCTTCAGCTATGATTCTCTATGCTGGTGGTGAGCTAGTATAGTAGCTCTTTGTTTTTAACTACACATAATGCTCCTATTATTCTTGGCAAAATTCCTCCTTTTGGGGGAGTTCTGGCTATCTCTGAGACAGCTGCCTACGTTTTAGGTTTTTGTCCTGGTGTCAGATATTCATCCTAGCCAGGTATGATCAGGGTATCGGGTCCCTCTCCTGGGATAGAAAGCATGGTGATCTGCTTAAGGAACCTGTCTAGAGGAGCTGTGAGCATAGCAGGTACTCTAAAGCATCCCAGAGAGGAAGTAGTCCAAGTGGCAAATAGTTCAAATAGTCTAGTTCAACAAAGGAATTTATTTCTCATTTGAATATATTTGAATTAATAATAAACTATCTGCATACATTAGATCAAAAAAGAAAAAAATATGTATAATCTGAGAGTTCTCTTGGCTTACCTTGTTCCTACATTTATGCTTTAGGTAATCAATATGTGGAAGGACAGGAAGAAGTCCTAGTTTGCCATACATGAATAAGAAAGCAGATGATAAACTTGTTAGCTCATAGAAACCTCTTCTGCCTTCTCTACTGGTGATCTCTGGGGAGCTGATGTAGCTACTTTTTTTTTTTTTTTTGCGGTATGTGGGCCTCTCACTGTTGTGGCCTCTCCCGCTGCGGAGCGCAGGCTCCGGACGCGCAGGCTCAGCGGCCATGGCTCACGGGCCCAGCCGCTCCGTGGCATGTGGGATCTTCCCGGACTGGGGCACGAACACGTGTCCCCTGCATCGGCAGGCAGACTCTCAACCACTGCGCCACCAGGGGATCCCGATGTAGCTACTTTTGATGTTACTTGCCCACTAGTTGTGCTTTACTTAGCCTTCTAAGTTTATTCCAATCTGGCAGTTGATCTATACGTTGGGCAAAGCATTGTTTAACTGAGGAACTGAGTGTCTGCTTAGGT